GGTTATATGATCATATATATATATATATATATATATATTGCATATATATTCTCTTATCTTTTAATATTTCTGTATATTTAATAATATTTAGTATTACGTTAGAAATAACACAATCATTTATAACGAATGGTGAAATGATTTATATCGCTTCAGCAATAATATTATTATTCAATTTAACGGTTAAGAAGTTCTAAGAATAAATGACCTTCATCATTTTATGGCATTTCAGCTGAATACATATATTGAATGGTAACATGTTTCATTTATAGTTATTATGTTATTGTAAGACTGAATATTTTACAACAAATATTACGTATAACATAAATAATACAGATTTCGAAATTAATTTATAATATCTTACGTATGAACGCATGAGACAATATAAATCATGCTAACGCTAGATGATTGCATCGAAATAAAAACAAATCTAGCGATGTATTCCAATAACATATTGAACCAAAGTTATTTATGGTTAAGAACGATAAGGAATACAACTAATAAATAATAATTCGACAGAGTATTGGCTTAGTGGAGTCGAATCATCACATGATGCTATTTAAACTATTTAGGTTATATGATTCTGATCATATATATAATAAATTACATATATATTCTCTTAATGTTTTAATATTTCTGTTATAATTAATAATATTTGAAGTATTGTGTTGGAAATAACACAATCAATTATCAATTCACGAATAATGATTATATACCGATTTACATCGTTTTGCAATACTCAGTCTGATAGGAATAATTATTATTGCGTTTTAAGAAAGTTCAATAGTTACGGTGTTAAAGAAGTTCTGAAATAAATAATTACATATATTGGATAATTTCATTAGCCTGAATACATATATTGGATAGTAACATGTTTTGCTATAGTTATTATGTTATTGTAAGGTTGAATATTTTACATACAAATATTTACGTATAACATTACTGTATAATTCATTTGTCTCATACAGGATTCAAAATTAATTTTTAATCAACTATGCTCAGTAAAGCTCTACGAAATGAATATTGCTCGTGCTTTCAGTCTGCAGTGTTTACATAATGAAACAACGTAACTTGGGGGGAATCCGTAATTTAAAGTATCATAAATATATTTAATGGTTTGTTTATAAAGGTTAAATATTTGAGAAACAAATGTTCGTCACTTGAAGGTAAATTAGACATTCTGGCTGTGAATACAAATTGAGTTAATTAGGAAAATAAATGACTCAACAGTATTTTTCTTAAAACAGAACTACGGTATTTTCTCTTTGGTTTTACAAATAATAATTCAAAAAATAAATAATTATGATCGTTTTTTTTTTTAAAAAGAACAATTTTTTGTCGTAATATTTTAAGTATGAATAATTGAAATATATATCCTAGAATAGTTGTAATTTAAAGGATGTTTGAATAGTTAAAAAGTACTTATTTATTATAAAAGCGTTTTGTAATGCAATCTACTGATTTATTATTAAAAAGTAAATTTGAAAATAATTACAAAATATATGAACTTAAATAAGAAAAAATTGAGATTGATGATATTTATTTTGTTATAAATAATTAATGAATGTTAAAAAAATATTTGAATTTAATGACGAGAGTAAATTACTTTTAAAAGAAATCGGGAAGTTTTTAAAATTATTTGCTTACTATTATTTTTAACCATTAAAAATACTTAAACAAAAATGTAATGTTTTGGAAAAAAATGCGTTTTGCTAAAAAAATAAAAATTCATAATGAATTGGTAAAATTTGAAGAACTTTTTCGTAATTGTTAGTATTTAAAAATAAACTTCATCCAATTAGTAACAACATACGCATCAAAACACATTTTTAATCAATGCCTGAATATTGGATCGTTTTTTATTTAGTCGTAAATAATAAATAAATGCCCTTATTCAATGAAATTTTTTAAACGAGAATAAATTTTTTTAAAATTAATATTACGAATACATTTTTCAAAATGTACATTTGATATATAAGGTACGTTCGTTATAATATTCAAAATGTCCTTTTATATTTAACACTGTAAAACTTTACTAAAAAATGATATTTTAAAATACGTCTTTTGATAGAATAAATAAATTATAAGTTGAAATTTTTTAAAATAATAATTTTAAATGTCAGTTACTTATGAATTTAGAATAATTCCCAGTAGAACAGCAGATTTATAGCAGATTCAGCGTTATGTAAGAGGCCGCAAAGAGTCTTGCAACATTGTCCATCTTTTGTCAAAAATTGTCCATTGTCCACCTTTTCATTGCCCATCTTTTTTTTTTTTTTTTTCTGAAATTTGAACAATCATTCCAGTAACTGAAACTGAGGGTTTTACTCTTCTCCCAATCACCATAAGCCTAAAGAGAGAACTTTCCAGTTTACAGATCTATCATATCTAAATTTTCAGTTTATAGTGAGTATTGGGGCTGAGGTTCAATCCGCTGGCTGCTTTGTTGTAGACACTGTTTCAAAAACAAGGCCTAATGGTCAATTGGCTAGAACTCTGGCCTTTGGTACCACAGGCTTCAGTTTCCGAATCCTGGCAGTGCATGAATGTTTGATAGTGGTTCGAAATCCACGTAAACTGTTCTAGTATGCCTGTTAAACTGTGGGTTCCAGTCTAATTAGCCTAAAGTGTTCACAAAATGACCTTAGAGCAACAAACCAAACCAAAAAAATAAGAGACTCGATGTCATTTGTGATGTTCAGTATCTTGCCTCGTTAGTCAGACTACAGGGCTGGAGTTTTCCGAGTTTACTCCCATACGAAATGCAACTGTGGGGTAGTGAATTGATTACTCATGCGATGTCAGTCACGTAATTCAAGATACTCAGGATTAGACACACATATTCATTTTTAGTTTAGGTTGCGTTTTGTGTTTCGAACCAGATTTCTCTAGTTCGGATACTAGAAAATTCTACTAAACAAACCTCTTCGGCCTAGTTTTAAGACTATATTCTTAAACTTTAAAAATTAAACTAGGCATACTCCATAATAAGCCACTTCAGTCAACCCCACATTTTTCAATCAATGTCTTCATTTCGGATCAATCGATACTTAACTAACATAATTAATCCGCCAGTAGCAGAAAACTTCCTGGATATTCCACTAACACACAACTAACTGGACGACTAAAATCTGCCAAGACTGACAACATAACTTTCCATCAAATCTGAGGGTTTTCCATGGCTACCAATCCTCTTAAGCCTAACTAGATGACTTTCCATTTTACAGATTTATCAGGTCTATCCTTTACGTAAACATAAAAATTTTCAGTTTAGGTTTGTTTCTTGTGTTTCGAACCTGGCTTCTCTAGGTCGGATACTATAATGTTCAAACCACTTCGGCCTAGTTTTAAGACTATGTTTTAAACTTTAATACTTTAAATTAAACTAGACCTGCTCCATAATAAGTCACCAACCCCAAATTTTTCAATCGATGTCTTCATTTCGGATCAATCGATACTTAACTAACACAATTAATCCGTCAGTAGCTGAAAACTTCCAGATATTAACACTAACACACAACTGGACGACTAAAAGTTGCCAACATAACTTTCCATCAAATTTTAGTGCAGAAATTGATTATCTGAGAAGTGCACACACTACAATTCATCTCGAATTACTTCAGGGTAATTGAGCCCTTATGTGTTTTAAAGCCAACTTTTGTTACCGAAAGCGTATGCCCTGAGCTGGCAACATGCAAATCTCAAGTCGCTCGGTAAAAGCGGACAAGCGTAAAAGATAACACGACCGCTCATCGTTGATCATGCCACGCTGGAAGAGATGATAACTTGAAGCAACGGCGCTCCTGTCCGGACTCGTAACGCTTGATGGGAAAATGATCACGCTGTCTAAATACCGTCGGAGCCAGGTGTCGAGGGACTACTAAGCGTTGTTGCGTCACGTGGATGCTGTCAAATTATTTATCGTCGCAAACACCGGATGAAGTCAGTTTGGATGTCAGATTACAGTGGACGGAGCATCGATCAGAGGTTAGGTGCTGCAGCTATAGGCTGATAGGATAAGGCGGAAACGATACTTATAGAAAAGTGGTTCAGCTTCCTAGGGTGAATGTAGTGAACGCGTCCCTACAAAATTTATGTATTATGAAATTTTAATTTTTTTTAACGTGCTTTAAAAGCTTGAACAAAAGCTTAAAATATTTAATTGACCGTATAGCTGATTTCAGTTATAATGTTCAAATACATTAGCAATTCACAAAGGGATGAGTCAACAAGACTTGAACATGAAAACTAATTTGTTCTTAAGATTCTAAGTGCATTTTTGAGTCCTATTAGTGATATGAAGTATTTTAATAGCATTTATTTCATGCATTATTAAAAATATAAAAATAATTTTTCGAAATAGACGATATGAATTTATTTGAAAAAACTTCCTTTATATCTGATACAAAATGCATGTTAATTTAAAAATTTTGTGACTTTTCCCCTTTAAAATCAATTAAATATTGTTTTACATAAATAATAAAAGTCATTTATAAAAGAGCCTATTAATAAACCTTTTTTCTTCTTTTAATTCTGGGAATCGGTAAGAATTAAACCTGGAAACTCATTTTATGTCTTAACTTTTAAGACGCAAAAAAGTTCTTTTTGAGTATGATCAAAATAAGCTGATTATATTAAGTGCTTTAAATTGCAATGAATTTCTCTTTGTATTATAAAGAGAAAATATATCTTTTTTTCTAATAGAACATCCGTTGTTGCTGTTTCTTATCCCACTTGGCTGGCCAAGCCCACGAGCCCATACGTACTCATGATTGAAGAGGAAGGAAGCAGCTTCTGTTCTGATGGAGCACCCGTAGGTAGAAGTCTGACTTTGGCTCCGTGACGCTCTTACAGTCATAGGAGACCGGGACCTACAGCTTAAAGTGGATTTCCGAACCACTTACAAACATCCATGGCACCGCAGGGATTCGAACCCGAAACCTGTGGCACTGAGCGCCTGAGCGCAGACACTCGGCCATTGAGGTCCCAAATTTGTGAATGCCAACGGCACGCGGTGTTCCCAGATGGTAAGACTGACCGCGCCCAATGATGCTTGACTTCGGTGATCTAACGAGAACCGGTATATTCACCATGGTATGGCTGTTGGCTCAAAAACTTACTTAGTTAAAAAAGCATTTATGAAGAATAGCATTTAAAACTGCCTAATGCATGTATGACAAATTTTCTATAAATGATTCCAGTAAATAATTTATAAAAGAGCCTATTAACAAACTTTTTTTCCTGTCTGAGTATCAGGAAAAAAAACCTGGAAGCGAAGTTTATGTCTTAACATTTAAGACGCAACAAATTGCTTTTCTGAGTACCATCAAAATAGAGTGATGATGCCAGGTACTTTAAATTGCATTCATTCTTCCCCACATTATAAAGAGAAAAAAATTATAATAGAACACCTAAACTTACTTAGTCAAAAAGCATTTATGAAGAATAGAATTTGTATATACCGGCCTAATGCATGTATGACAAATTTTCTATAAATGATTCCAAATCATTTATAAAAGGGCCTATTAACAAACTTTTTTCCTGTCTGGGAATCAGAAAGACGTAAACCTGGAAACGAATTTTGTTTATGTCGTAACATTTAAGACGCAACAAATTGCTTTTTCTGAGTATCATCAAAATAGATTGATGATACCAAGATTCTTCCCAAATTATAAAGAAAAAAAAAAATTATAATAGAACACCTAAATTTACTTAGAAAAAAGACATTTATGAACGATAGAACATGCATTTAAAATTCTATATATCTCTTAATGCAGATATGACCTAATTTTCTACACGATTGCAGTAAGTCATTTATAAAGGGGCCTATTAACAAATGGTTTCACTGCCTGGAAATCGGTAAGACTTATAGTAAACCTGAAACAAGTTTTATGTCTAATCTTTTAAAAACGAAACAAAAGTTTTTTTCTGAGTATCATCAAAATAGAGGACTTTAAATTGCAATTAATTCCTCCCATATTATAAATTAAAAAAAGATTTTTCTAATAGATAACCTAAATTTACTTACACAAAAGACATTTATAACGGATAGAAAATGTATTTAAGTTTTGTAAAATATTCACATTAGCATCTTTAAAAATCCTTTAAAACTTATTATTTTATATAAATAATGTAACAATATCAGTCTAATGCTTAAATGTCAAAATTTCAGCATAAAGACAGAACTTAACGACAAAAATTTAAAAAAAACATAGACAAGTCAAAAACTTTGTCCATAAAATTTAAAAGCCGCAAAAAGACAATACAGTCTTTCCAAAAGCAAATATCGATCATTCCCATTATATTTTATTTTTCTTTTTCTTTTACTATTTCCCTAAACGGGAATATATACAATAACAAATCCTTTCCAGACATAGGCGAACACAGCGGCAATTTAATCTCTTATTTTTATTTGATCTTAAAGTTTGTTCGAGTTCCATTTTTAAGCCGTCTTTAATTAGATTTCTTGATTAAACCATGGACCAACTGAGCGGTTCTTTACTGGATCCTGTCTTCAACATTTTGTTTTTCTTTTCTTTCATCCTTCCGCCATTTCTTCTCGATACTTATTTTTGTCTCTTCTTTTCTACAACTGAGAGCTAGCAACTCTTATTTCTAGCGGAACACATTTACCGAAACCCATAACTTTGTTCTTAAATATAACTCCCCACCTTTTCGGCGGTCAGGTTTCTTTTATTACGGCTTTACTTCACAGCGCTCAATAAAAACAGTCTCAGAAAAGTAGCGAATCATTACAGTCCAATAAACACCACCAGCTGTTTCCACTGCACTAGAACTGTTACATAGAACTTAAAAGGTCAGTATAACTTCGACTTTGCCATTTTCCGTTTAGTCAAGCATGGAATTCCTGCTCAGATCTCCACATGCTTGTCACTGAGTTTATGTGAAAGTCAAATACAAACTTCCATGACGACATTTACACTTTCAATGAAATATTTTAAAACAGCGATCTAATTAGTTGAAAGAAACTTTTTAAATTTATGTTCTTTCTCTGGTCATGCTCATCGATTCGAATATTATAGTACTTTTTAAATCTAAAAATATTTCGATATTTGAATGTTGAGCATAGGTGATTGCAAAATGCAAAATATGTACAGAATTACGTATAAATAAACATATGATATGTATAAATAAACTAATTTCCAGTGAAATCCGAAAAACTGTTTCCACAGAACTAGAAATGTTAGATAGAACTTAAAAGGTCAGTATAACTTCGACTTTGCCATTTTCCGTTTAGTCAGCATGGAATTCCTGCTAGATTTCTGCTCTGATCTCCGCATGCGTGTCATCGAGTTTAAGTGAAAGTCAAATACAAACTTCCATGACGACATTTACACTTTCAATGAAATATTTTAAAACAGCGATCTAATTAATTGAAAGAAACTTTTTAAATTTATGTTCTTTCTCTAGTTATGTTCGCCGATTAGAATATAATAGTATCTATAAAATATAAATTTTTTAATTATTTGTATGATGAAAGGTAAATTGATTGCAAAAATACAAACTGTGCATAATCTATAAATAAACATATGATATGTATAAATAAACTAATTTCCAATGAAATCCAAAAAACTGTTTCCGCAGTACTAGAACCGTTATATAGAACTTAAAAGGTCTGTATAACTTTGACTTTGGCATTTTCCGTTTAGTCAAGCATGGAATTCCTGCTAGGTTCTCTGATCTCCACATGCTTGTCACTGACTTTATGTGAAAGTCAAATACAAACTTCCACGATGATATTTATACTTTCAATGAAATATTTTAAAACAGCGATCTAATTAATTGAAAGAAACTTTTTAAATTTATGTTCTTTCGCTGGTCCTTCTCGTTGATTCGAATATAATAGTATTTTTTAAATCAAAAAATGTTTTGTTATTTGTATGATGAACATATGTAAATTGATTGCAAAAATACAATTACAGAATAGTACAGAATACAGAATACAGTATACAGTACAGAATAACATACAGATAAAAATATCATACGTATAAATAATCTAATTTCCAATGCAATCCAAAAATTTATATTATATAGTTAAATGATGATATATTCTAGTACGATTAAAATTATGCATTAACTAGTAAATAAAAAGAAAATCCAAGTATTGAAATGCCCATGATTGAATGCTAATAAAAAATAGTAATGAAAAAAAAATTTTTTTGCTAAGCCAAATAAATAAAAGTCTTAGATTTAATAAAATAAAAATATTAACAAAATTAAGTTTATATTACTTAATCATCAACGCAATTAGACATTTGGTTCTGATAGGGCAAACAAAGTTACAATCTTTGTATTCCTATATCAAATTATTTATTCGAATTCATTATAATTCAAGTTATCAGCTAATTTATTGAATCTATTTTAATATCGAGAAATCTATAAAATACATATACGAGTATGCCAAATATATTTATAAATAGTTGAAAGAATATTAATGAATTACAATTAATATATTACTCTTTATATCTCGCACAAAATTGACACGTCACACATTTTTTAAGTGCATTTAAGCATTCTAGGAATTAAAGTCACTTTAAATGGTAAAAAGTAATAAAGATTGAAGTTTGTCATTATAGCCGATTCTATATAACGTAATTCGCCTCTGCAATGCTAATACCCTCCCAATTGAAAATGGAGACTCAACGATTGATTGAGTTATTAACTCAGATCCAATAGATTGCTAAACTAATACTTTTCTTTTCTTAAATTATTGTAATTATGCTAATCACTTCCATTTTAAGAATTTCCATCTCACCAAAGCAACACAAAGAAACGTTTGTGCAACTACTCTTTTTATACCTGACCAAGTGTTTTTATTATTTCAGGAATTCAATTTAATTCCAGCAGTTTTCCACTTTTGAAGACCATGTTAGTTAAAAGTAGGATTGCTATATAAATGATCTGCAAATACACTCACAGAAATATTTGGAGACCAATTTGTTTGAATACAACATACGTTACGGCTTTTTAAATAGTTTTATCGGTGAATTAATTGGTTAAGTTTAATACCCGTATTCTAACCGATATATTTATTTAATTTTAATAATTAATTTAAGTTCAGCTAAATGGCAGATTGTAGGCACACGTAACTGTTTGGTGTATAAACATTGTTCTTTTTTAGAAAGAGCGCGAAAATTAACTCGTCTCTTTCATGGTAAAATATATTTAACTACCAAAATATAAGAATAATGTCCGTAAAACATAACTATTGACTCAGTTTATATATAAATTATCCAGCCTAAGTATTACGAAATCAGCATCTACCATAAGACTATGGTTTAAGAGATCTCCCTTGCAATTTGCCTCATGTGTACGATCTGAAGAAAAGTGCAAGTTAAAGAAGAACGTGCTGTGAAATTTTGAGCAGTAGTCGTTCTCTTTTAAAGTTGGTAATGCATAATAAACAAAACATCACCAACTGGCAAAATAATAGATTGACGATTTCTTAGGATGTGCAAGGCCTAATGTAAGTATAGCGGATAAAAATAGCAATTGTCTGGAAAAAAAAAATGCAGTTATGTTTGAAAGATAATATTATCCTAAAGGAGATCGTTAATATATGAACCCCATAGCTATTGATTTTGCTTCCAAAGCAGGAGACAATTGTTTGCAAGGCTAAAGCTGATGCAGGTTCTTGTGTTTCAGGAGCATACCATGTGGAACTGTAAAATGGTTTAAAATAACAATAAACCAACAGTTTTTGTCAGACGAATCATACTTCTGATTGTTTTCCTATCATACACGCCATGTCGGTATAAACGTACATCTGGACTGTGTCCAGTAATCAGTATAAATTTGAGTTATATTTCTCGGACTGGTATTAGATCATTTTCACAAGCCAACACTTGAATAAGCGCTGCTGTAGATTATATCACCATCCTGGATGATCCCGTTGTTTTTAAAAGGGAAATTGATTTTTAATGGAGTCCATTTACCAAGAAGTCTACTGTACGAGACTTTAAGTTAAGATGTGTGTTCTAAACGTTTGTGGAACAGGAAGCGGTTGCCTCATACCTCACTTGCCTGATTTACACGTCAATAAGAAAATTTGGGATACTTCGGAATTGTGAAAATTAGTTTAAC